GGGTTTTATTTGAATTTCTTAGATGATTTATGAAGAAGTTTACAATTGTTGAATTGACTTAAATTTGAGAGTCATATGAAGTGATCGCCATTCGCTTGTGTGTGCTTTTCATTGCCTCCATTAGCAAATTCTTATGTGCATAATTTTCAATCGGTCACATTTAGCAGCATTTAAGTTGTAACATTCAAAATCTTTTAGCTTTTAAAATCCTTGCGGCTTCTTGCCTTCTATATTATGCTTTGGTTTGTTAGATCCCATCTTCTTGCCTATGTTTTGTGTTCTGGTCTTTTTGGTGGAATATCATGCAAAAACAGAATGTACCCTTTGGTCATACATATATATGGTTTTAGTTGAAGTGTGTCGTTTACTACTTTACTTATCAACTTCTATCAATGTATTGATTGATTTATAATCAGGTTTACTTGTATTAAACTGACTTAAAACTGAGAGTCACATGAAGTGGTGGCCATCTGCTTGCACGCGCTTTTGATTGCCTCCATTAGCAACTTCTTTATGTGTGCAATATTTGTTCTATAATTCTTCGTGAGTTTCAGTCATATTATAATTCTCTTGTTGTATATTCAGGTACAAGCATTACTGAACCTTCGTGGGCAGGGATTTTGGAAAGATTCATATAGCTTTGCCCATAAGAGGGGATTTCTTTCTGGTTTTTTTCTTGGGTTTTGTTTTTATCCGCCCGTAGTTTGAGTGGTTAGTTAAAGTATGCTCCTCTGTATGTTGTTCAATTTCAGTAAAACCTAAGTATAAGACATTGTCGTGCGTACTGCCAGTTGTTTCTCTGATCCTTGATCATTGAGTAAGCTCTGATACATTTACTTTAGTAAAGTCTGATAGAAAAAGAAACATAAAAATATTTTGAGACATGAGGACTTGATGTTCTAGGCCCCAACATTAAAAAGGGGACCAAGTAATTTTTATTAAGAGTCTTAGAAAGTTCTGCCATCCATGTTACTTTATAGTTCGCATGCTAGGTACGTAATTCTTGAAGTTGGTCTCTCATTCTAAGTATCTAAATGGGGCTAGTCCTGTCTTAGAATCTAAACTTTCGCAAACTTGGACATCCTTTATATTTGTTCAATTGAATCATGAGGGCATGACAAAGCAGGGTAGTCCCTTCCCTAATAGCTGGATGAATGCATGTATTTCCGTTAAGGCCTTTTTTGGAGTCTGATATGATTTTCCTATCTTGCAAGTTTCACTTTGTTAAAATAATTAGCCAAAGCAGGGGTCTAAACGTGTTTCTTTCTTTGATTTTGTTTCTCATTTAAGCACAATCTTTTAGCTGAAGCAGAAGTGAGTATAGGAGGACTCATGTCTGCCTTGGATCTGTTAGATAAATAGAGGTTCTGTGAATTGACTCGAGGCCTTCTTTCAGTCTGAGCAACTTGGTGGCCACCGCACATTAACGTGCTCAAGCAATGGATTAAAAACAAGACAAATGCATTTTTAGAAGCAACCACTTCTCAGTTGCAGGGATTCTGTTCACAGATTTGCCACTTATCTGTACAAATCATGTGGATTGGAAGTGGTACAAGTTGTTTATAAGTACACATTAACGTGTTCCAAGTATAAATACACAGTATTCTCCATGAAAATAGTAGTTTACTATTTTGATTGATATACATACAACTGTTGAAATTGAATTGACTATTTTTTTGAACATTGTGTAATACCAATAAATCTAGTTCAAAGATGCCATTGGTTTACTTGATATTTTGTTTAACACAAAAGAGATTTAAGTTCAGAATTAGATAAACTACCACCAGTCTATGATAGAATTAGATACACTCCAAACATCTCCGTAAACCTGTGATGATATATTTTACGAATTCCTAGGGAATTCGCGGCTGGTCTACTTTGGGTTTAGTGAAAAAAACAGCAATGCAAACATTTTTTCTCCAGCAAGTAGATCTAATTTCATTGATGTGTATAATCCTTGATGTATATGACAAGAGTATCCCATGCTTTGGGTAAAAACAAGTAACAAAAGCTAGAAACCTTGAAGTGCTGCAATGACAAATCTGTAAACAAATTTGTCGTAGTTGTAAAACTTGAGTTAATCCCGTTGTGGTTCAGATATGATGGTGTAACGCTTGCTGTTTCTTTTTGCTTAAGGCTCAGATTCTCCTGAAGCTATATTTTGAAGAGTGAATGCCTCAGAATAATGTCAATTCATTGAGTTCTAATTTTTCTAGTGAATAGGTATTTTCTTCTTTACCCATTTTCTTTGTAAATCCAAATTCTTCTCACATTAAAATTCTCATAAAAAAATCTCAAATCAAGGGGTTCTAAATCCTTTTGTATTGTTCCTTTTAAGCATGGATAACGTAAGTTGAATCGAATTGGTGTTACCTGCACTTTTGTGTCTCTCAGTGTGGTCAGTCAGCATTGGGTCTTTCCAAGTGGTGAATGGCGAGACTTACACCCATTCACATTATTCATCCAAAGTTTCTTACCCTTATGCAAGACTTATTGAATAAGCCTAAGATTTTAGAATCTGTAATTTATCCCTTAAAGATTAAAGATGGATTAAAAGTCTCATATTGCACGCCGAATTTTATAACCAAATTTGTCATATTTAAGTCTTCAAGCTTTAATGGAGCCACTCTGACCCTTTTGTCTATTTGCTAAGGTTCAATAGAGTGGTGAAGCCTCGAATTTGGTGTTGAGATTCTATTATCAAGCATTTTTCATTGTACAAGAATAGCTAGTTCTCCAACAAAATTTCTTGAGAATAACTTATTTCTACGATCAATTTTCGAATAACTGTTATTCAAAATTGTGGTATTGGTCATTGACTCATAGGGTAGTGAGAAGCATTATTAGTGGTGGCACAAAATTGTTTCGTACGATACTCTCAAAATATTACATGGAAGAAGAAGTTGAAGACGACAAAAGATTGAAGCCATATCAAAGCGTTCCATAATTGTATTTACCAATTCTATGGCCACTGTCTTATCTACTTAAGGGCCAGGAGGCCCAAGTCCAGCCACATTATTTTCAGTTTTTCTTAGTATATGTATGTGTGAGAGTGTATATACATTTGTGAAACATTATGAACATCTATTATATTGTGCCAAACTTATTATGTACGTACTTTGATTGTATTTTTCTATTAAAATAATTTTACGATAGGTCAATATACATGTGATCATTTTTATTGTATTAAAACTCTTTTCAATTTGTTTTGATTTGCATATTTACAAATTTTTTTGTTCTATGTTCTTAATATCAAATTAAAATTTACTACTATTATTTTTGTATGACTGTTTGTTTCTATTTTTCTTTGCCCAATAATTATTTTGTTTGAACTGAGTTTTAATCGTATTGTGAAAAATAAAGTTGTAAACGAATGGATGATTGAGAATTTGATTGTACAAAAAGGTACTTTTGATAACCTAGAAAATAAATTTATCGTAGAATACTTTCAAATATAAAAACTTATATAGTCAGTTGCAAAAACATGATTTGTCTCACATTTTTAAAGAATTGTAATTAGTAATTAGTAATTTTTTTGATCTTTTTTATTTGTGTGTTATTGCCTTTTGGATTTTTTTGTCAATAAATATTCATGTGTCGAATATAATATACTAAATATATTTTAATTTTATGGTAAATTTCATCCATATCTCCTATGGATAGGTTTAACTTTAACAACATCTACTGTCTTTTCTGAAATTTTACTGCAATCCTTTTTAGTTTATTTGTCAACTTCATGCAGGCGCTGTTGTGACTGACCGTGGTTGACAATCTGAAAAGTGCTTATGTCATACAAATATTTTGGTTAAATACAAAATTTATCCTTTTTCTTCCCCAACAAATTTATCGTTCTTTTAGTGGTGACGTGATATATAAAATTACCTTAAATTGCTACAATAATAATTGTAGCTAAATATTTCGTATTTAGTGATATTTTTTGTATTGTGGCTAAAATTTTACTTTAAGTGGCAATTTTGAAATGTCATAGCTAAATTATTTAGCCACAGCACATATGGGTGAAATGTCTCCGTGTGTGTTCCTTAATTGATTTTGAACATGGTTGCAATGTGGAGCAAATTATGGATATTCCTATCTGTGATCAATTTTCACATGATCAATTGGTTTGGCACTATACTAATTCTGCCCATTTCTCAGTCAAGAGTGCTTACCATTTGGTTATGATCGTGGTCTTCATGGCACCTAGTAATAGCAATAAGAGATGGTGTGACAATTTCATTTGGTATCTGAGAAGCCCCAATAAAATTAAAATTTTTGTTTGGAGATTATTTAAAGATGTTGTGCCTACCCATTGCAATCTTCCTCAAAGGCCACTTCCTGTTGATACTCGATCTGCATGTTTACTTTGTGAGGCTGCAACTAAATCTTCTTCTCATATCTTTTTGGAATGTCCTGTTCCTTTGGTGGTATGGAGAATCTTTATGGATGAAGTTGATTGACACTAGGTATTTATGTTGGAATCAAATTCTATAGTTCATGAATTATAGATAGATGGACTAAGTGTCTCCATTGGATAACAACTTTGTGAAATCTTACCACTATATTTCGTGAACATGGACTTTCTTGTTAAGCCGAACCATCTAAGTTTGTGTGTTTTGTTTTTCTATTCCGTTTCAATTTATTTTGTTTGTGTTGTGGCCTTAGTTCATAGTAAATCTAGGGATGGAAAATATGTGGATCGGTTACCATTTCCACCCTTTGGGGAAATACTTGATGCTTTATCTTTGCTTGAAGGTATTGGGACGTTGATTGCCATGTCAAAGTGTAGTGAACGAGTATGATGTATATGGTGACATTGAGCCGTTGAGTCTATTTCAAACAGGTTTTGAAGAGAGAGTTGTTTATGTGTTTACAAAGTTGAAGAAGATGAGCAGCTAGCGGATTAAACGCACGGTGGCAATCGGGAAGTATACGTGGAGGGGTTTGATAAGGCAAATCCTGTATTGGATCCACATAAGAAGAATACTATAATTGGATGGAAGAGAAACTTTGTTTACAAGATCACAAAGACCAGGGCCAAACTCGGATACAACATGATTAAGTATAGCCTTCCCGACTCTACATTGAACAGTAGAAGAGTTTTGTTCAAAGACTATGTTCTTTACGGCATCAATAAGAAGAAACCACCAGAAACCAATCACTTACAGTCGCAGGACAACTTTCAAGAACTAATAGAGGGTGAATTGTTTGCCATGTTAGCGGAAGATCATTATCATTACGAAGCTGCTCCATCGCTACCATACGAGCAGATTGCATTGGGTGTCCCTGTTGCCTAGTTTGAAGGATATTCACATCAACAACAAATGAGCATGGCAGTGACCCTGAATTTGGTGCATTATATTCTGGACAAGGCAGGTCTGCAGAATTTCAAGTGTCAAATAGTATCATGGCTGCCTTAGCAGAAGATGATAGTGAAGCTATTCCCCAGCAGGCAATCAACAATGAGCCGAGCCTTTCGGTGGCCCAACTTGAAGGATATCAGTATGAGGAAATGAGCTGTAATAATAACATGGTGACAACACTAGTTGCGCAATGTGGATCCATCACAGATGCATCAGTGGCACCCCAATCAAGTGTTGGTGCTTTATATTGTAGTGGAAGAACCGGATTTGAATGTCAAATACAAAGTAATGTCATGCCTTGTGCAGCAGAGTCTCCAATATCAGGAGAATGATGCTTGCCTACTCTGGAAACATGGGATTACGCTGACCTATTTATGCCGGATAACACAAATTGGGACAGTATCTCCCTAGCTGAGCTGCTGAATGTTGATCAGGAAGAGTTGCCGAATGGTGATCAGGTACAGGGTTTACAAGAGAGTGTGATTTCCATGATATCGAACCCATCGAGTGTCTAGAATCTAACTAACTGTGGATATTAGGATTTATGATGATCGCTGCCTTGTTTTTATGTTAGGGACAGTTAGTATACTTTTTAGAATGTACATTTACTCATTGGCCACATCAATGGGACCTTTGGGAGGGGTACAATATTTTGCTTAGAAGCTGAAAAGATAATCGCGAAGAGCCTTTACAAGGAAGTGAGATTCCCATGATCCCTAACACAAGGGGTGTTCAAAATCTGATTGACTGTGGATATTAGAATTTATGATTATAGTTATGTACTATGTACACAGTAGGGATAATAACTCTGTAAATAGATTTAAAGCAAGTGTTTTTGTTCAAATGGTGGTTCAGTTTTTCTTCTTGTGAGATAATTTTACATTTTTGAGGTGGTGGATTTTTCATATGAGCTCAATGGTTATGCTTCATGGATTCTATTTTGTTGTTGCAATTCCATTATAGCTCTCTGTAGTTAGAAGTAGCTGCACAGGTCATAGGCAGCCAATTCATAAATAAAGTTTTTTTAGCAGGTGTTGCCCACAATTTTAGATGGTGAATATTCTTTATTTTCCTCTTTCTCTTTTGTGAAATTCTGACTTAAACATAGGTAGTCCTGTATTTTGAATCTCCATTCTCTTCGGTCTTGTTATTGAGATTGAATCTCTTTGTGATGTGGCACTTGGTGTGCTCGTCAACATTATGCAAAAGCGTATGTGCCCTTTGGTTGCATACATGGTTGAAGTGTGCTCTTTACTTATTTACTTCTATCAATGTCTTAGCTGATTTATGAATAGATTTACTTTTGTCAGACTAACTTAAATTCGAGAGTCAAATGAAGTCGTAACCATACACTTGACCGTGGCTTTGTTCCTAACGGAACCAATTTTAGTTCCATAGAATTACCGGTCAAGGCTGCATATGGCTTTGCTCGCTCTTTGGCTTTCCTGAAAATCTGAGACCTCTCTATTTTTTCACATTTGGGTTGGCTAGCCAAAGATATGCATGCTCCTATAGTTCTTCAATTCTAGCTTTAATGGCAGATTGTGCATCTTGCTTGCAACTCAACACATTTCATCGCGCTGGTGGTACGACAAAATTTTCTTCATTAGCCATTAATGTTATTGTTGGTTTCAACTGACTGAGAAAATCAAATCCTTCTCATGGCACTATTGAAGATGGCACTATAAAACTTGGAGAAACATAATTTAGGTCCATTGACAATATGTTAGAGAGTTTAAACTTGTAAACCTTCACCAAGTACAAACCAGGATAGATAATAGGAAGAAAAAAAGCTCATATAATCTAAAAGAACTGGCTGAATTACAATACAGATTCAGTGGTTGCTAAGTGGGCTGCCCTTCAATTGGTGTTATTAAATTAAATTTTGCTGAGTTTGTGTTTGAGTCTGATGGTTTTTCTGGTATTGGTGTTGTTGTTAGGTATTGGAATTGTTCCTTTGTTCAGGGTTATTCCCAAAGGATCCAAAGACTTCTTAAACTTGATCGTGTGGAGGCAGTGGCAGCGACAACATCCATTAAATTAGCAGCAAACTCAGGTAATGGAAAAACTGTTCTTGAAGGTGATTCGAAGCTAGTTACGGATGCTTTGAAACAGGGAACTTCGGATTTATCAGAGCGGAGTAAATTTCTTGACCAAATTAACAGTTATATTGATGAGTTTGTTGATTACTCAGTTTCATGGATTCAAAGAGATGGAAATTCGGTGGCTTCTTATTTAGCTAAGTTTGTGAAAAATTGCACGAGTCCTTGTATTTGGAGAGAGGATTGTTCTGATTTTTTATTATTTCTCGTTCAAAATAATGTACTCCTTTCTACTTAAAAAGTTTTTTGATCGTTTCTATCATAAAAATATATATTTTAAAAATGTCACTCAATTACCAAAATTTTTAATTGGATTCTAAATAGTCCAATTGATGATGTACTTGAAAATTTGATTATATTAGATTTATTTTCCAATAAAAACAAGGATTAATTACTTTTTATCTCCATGTGGTTTCGGTTAGAAGCACTTTATCTACTTGACGTTAAAATTATGTACAACATTACCCCTTGTAGTTATGTACCAAAATAAAATGACTTCTTTTATCATCCAAGTTAACGAAGAGTGTGTTCTATATGCCCAAAACATGTTGTGGACATTGTTTTCCTCCGACAGAAAATTATCTAAGTACCTAAAATATTATTTATAATATCTAAATAGGTAGGGCATCAGTCCTAAATAAAAAAAATGTAAAAAAAAATAAATAAGTGATTTTCGGCCTCAGATCAAAACCTCGCTTGAGGGAAAAAGAGAGTCGACATATTTAATTAAACTGTTGGCTTATTATCATGATCCATTTGTTTTACGGTCAAGAGTAAATTAGAGGAAAAGTCTGATTTTAAAACGTGGGTATTATGACAATTTTTTTAATTCTGTTAATGGCGTCAATTATTTCATTTTGATACATAACTATAAGAAGATAATGTGCATAAATTTAAACGTCAAATAAATAAGGTGTTTCTAACCGAAACTACATGGGAGTAAAAAGTGGACTTATGGGCTTTTTTTGTTTAGGAAAGAATGAAGTGGGTAAATAGTTGTATTTGTGTTGGAGAGTGAGTGTGAATGAAAAAGTGCTAATGAGCAAATATTAACATGGTAAACAGGAAGGGTGGGGCTATTTTCACCCACAAATATCCATTCACACCATATTAAAATTTTTATTTTCAAATTATTGAGTCCACCCTTTCTATACCAACCACATTTTATCTCAGTTCACCACATGCTATACACACCTTCTATCTTCTCATAACTAGGGTTTCATTTACTATCTTCTCTCATACACCTTACACAAAATAACTTTTTTGATATAGATTGATAAATAAGATGATTACATCTGTAAGTCTATTCTAACTTTTGTCAAAACAACCTCTGTTAGATTAACATGAAGAGCAACAACTTGTGTTGCTAACTACTATAGTATGGACAATAATATAAACTTCTCTTTAAATGGACACAAACTAGATCAAAAAAATCTATTGGGTATACCACCTAAGAATAATTTATATGTACAATTATAAATAATAAACACATAATTTACAATGCTTCATTTTTTCTTCTTGTTGCAAATGTGTATGAATATATATATACCCTAAATAAAAAATAATTAAGCTTCACAGAATCAAACATGAAATCACATTTCACAAATGAAATTAAATGAAAATTTAAATTGAGAAGTAATACTAACATGTACTTGGTAGAATAGATGGTTTTGATTCTACAGTTATTGGTCATATTGATTTTGATTATGCAAGTGATCTAGATAGGAGTAGATCTCTAACAAATTATGTTTTTATTCTTTTTGAGTGCACTATAAGTTGAGGGGCGATCCTATAATCTACAGTTATTTTGTCTATGCAGAGACATAATACATGATAGTATCAAAGGGAGTTAAAGAAGCAATTAAGTTGAGAGGTTTGTTCAGTGACTTGGACTTAAAATAGGAGGTTATTATTGTGTTTTGTGATAGTCAAAGCATGATAATGAACATTGGGATGATACTAGGAAATATGGTCCGAAGAATCTCGATAGTAGTTCCATGAGAAATCCTTTGCGGGATTGGATTTTTTTGATAGTGGAAATGCCATAAAGCGCGAACCAAGATCCATGATACAAAAACCAAAATAAGAATAAGGAAGGAAAAGATATCGTGATGTAAGTCTATTATTCCTTTTGACAAAAATCAAATATAACATGAAACGACCAAGCATATTGACGCTAGATATCACTTTTTTTGTGAGGTTTATGGCTCAAGGTATTGTCAAAGTGAAAAAAGTTGTTACAACGAAGAACCCAATAGCTATGTTGACTAAGCCGGTACTAGTGCTCAAGTTCAAGCATTGCTTAAACTTGATTGGTATTTGCACTATTTGAATTGCATCCTACGGGGTATTTGGCGAAGGCAGCAGTCAAGTTAACTTTAGTTGAATGACTTGATGGAATACATGCAGGGCGGAGATTTATTATTGAGTGTTGTTGAATGCTGAATTTTTAATTCTTACACTGTTACCCACTAATACTGAATTGAACCAAAATTTTTAATAACTACACAGAGTTATTGTCTGAAAATAAATTAATTTTCAGTTTTACTCTTCCACTTTTTACTTTTAAAATATTTATAAAATATGTATTTATCTAATAAAAAATTACGATATATTACTACAAGTAATTCATAACATAAATCATAATCACTATTTCTATATTGTAGTCTACATTTAACTAACATGATAATAAAATTAATTCAAGTTAAATTAATCACTTAAAGTTGTCAATTGTCATAAATTTTAAAAATTACAATTAGGATACAAAATTACAAATCAAGAGTTTAATTGCCTTACAATTTACTCACACAAATTAAGTATAAAAATTTTGCATGTTATTTTGTGTGTGTGTGTTTGCGTGTGATTTGGGTGTGTGTGTTTGCATGTTAATCTCTATGTGTGAGCAAGAGAAGATAGGAGGAAGAAATGAGAAGAGAACATATCTGACCTCTTTGACATACGGTAGAGGTTAAGAAGATTGGGGGTTTTGGAGAAAAGAGCACTTTAAAGTTTTAATAGGATAGTGGAACATTTCAGAATAAAATTGTTATATTAAAAAAATTATAAAAGATGGTCTTCTTGAGTGCTTTCAACTCTCAGTAAGAGATCTTTTACTTAATATTTTAGTCTATTTTTAAGGAACACTTAATTTACTAATTGATGCACACGTGCGTTACACATGTGCCTAAAATTTGAAACTTTTGACATGAATGTTATAATCTAGACTAATTTCAGTTTTGATATACTGGTAATGATGAACATTAAGGATCAGGAAACAAATATTGATAGCATTTAAATACTAGAAAAACCATTCCTTAAAGCTATAGTAATCGCAGATGAATCCAAGTATTGAATTGACCTTTGATGATATAGGCTTGCAAGAGTGTGGGGTCGAGCTGAAGCTCTTTAGTCCTTGCTCAGGTGCTTGTGAAGCTCCAACTGAATATAGGAACAGGCTTGATTATTGAATAAATTGACGAAAATTTTAAATTTAAGAACCAAATAGTTCTTAATTAAATAAACCGAATTCCAACACCACAAAAAATAAAAATAGTATACAACTGAAATGGAGGATTAGACTTTTGATGTTTTCATTTTTGACAAAAAAAATTATTAGACCAAAGGGCCATTGATTTTTTTTATTATTTTATTATTTTTTTTGGGAGGGGGAGGGAGAGGGGGGTTCACAAAATAAGGAGTACCATTAGAACCAAGGTTGTGACACCCCAAAATCCGGGGGTCCGTTGATTACCCATCAACCCGCGGAATGCTCGTGGATACCGAGTAACTCGATATCTCAACGTTGTGCCCTATTTACCCGGGTCCATCATTTATTAAAAATTTGGGCAGAGTCTTCTTTGTAAGGGGAACTCTACTCAAAACACAACCTGTGTATTATATAATAACAAGACCCATCCGAGGTCCAATATTCAACAATGACCACACCGGGTCCATTTATAAGTAAACATTGACTACACCGGGTCCAATTATCCATACTCATACAAACATGCAATACTATATTAAAATGGTACATATAGACTCTATTACAATTCCTTTACACATTACATGCCAAAATTTAATTACAAGTTTAATTTTACAAAAGAAATGGATTGGAAGCCACAAGTCGGCTTTTCTTCCTCCTTAAGTGCCCTAGTGAGTGCCGTCCCTCGGCGTATGATCCGTACCTGAAATATTTCCTGTATAGGGTGAGCCAACGCCCAGTAGAGTATATCCTACAAGGGCCACTCCCCACCTAAGTACACATGCAATGTTCACCTTTGACAGTTCATATTCACATCAACATTCTAAGTAAGAATATGCAACTCTATATTGGAATTCACCATGTCATGCAATGAAATGAGATGAAACTCACTCATGCAACTTTAACTCGAGTCCTCACCAACTCCCACAACACAATGCAACGCATATGTGTAAAACAACGTGTTTGATGAAACACATCCGAAGATTATTTTGAAATCAACCATATGTCATAAAACCATTTCATTCTTGGAAGTTTCATATCAAATAAATAATTTATATGCCTTTATTGGGTATCGGATTCAGGAATCACACCTCCGGCTCCGTACGCCATTACACTTTTCTGGAATTTCACCGCCAGTAAGTGTATGAACCAAGTGGCTGGGTTTTTCACCCGAAGGAATGTCTAGCCCTACTTGCTATACCCGACACATATTTTCTTATGCATGTAACCGTGCGACCTAGTAGGATATTCAATCCCACTTTTCTGAGCCCACTCTTCAATCACCAAAAATAATGCTTGAATGAACCATGTCCAACTCATACACACACACACCCATACTTAGGACTTATGCCCATGAATGTGATGCCTCTATGCACAATGATACAATGTTCAATATGCTATGAATGACATATGAACAATCTCAACATATCATGGTAAGTTATGTTCTAAGCATATAGATATCATATTTGTCACTAATTCAATATATCATAACATGCATATACCAACAATTGTATTTCCAATCATAAATCATGTCATAAGTCCATAATTTCACTTTCATAATCATAAGCAAGTGATATCACAACTTTTAGGCTAATAACACACTTAATCATTAAGGCATAATATAACACATAACGACCCATGTAATAGCCCACGTAACGACTCTTATCTAAACCACAAAATAACTCATACAAACTACCGTATAACAGCCCGTATATAGCCCACAAAATAGCCTAAAAATAGTCAGCAAAAACAGTCCA